ATTCTGAAAGCCCTCCTGGATACACTTTACTTAGGTTTGATTTATCAAAAAATATGATAGCCGCACTTACAACCGTATTACTAAATCCTTTGCTGATTGGGTTCAAAATGAATAACAATTTTTATGTATCCAGTTCTAAATATAAACAACTTTTATTGGCACATCTGGCCTCAAAAGGAAATACATGTAAAGATACCTACATGTATGAACATGGACCCTGTTTAAGTGGCTACCTTGGAAACAGAGAACTTGATATAGCCATGTGTTTTCATTGCAAATTTTGGCCTCCATCTGCCTCCTCATGGATAGGCAGAAGTCACTTTTGGCCCCAGCCTCAACTTATTCATGATATAATACAACGTGGATGTTGCCTTGTAGCTATAGGACAAAAATTAGGACATCATAAGGACCATGAGTGGAGAATTTCTTTTTCTCAAGCAGAACAAAAACTAGTATATTCAATGAACCACTGTCAATTCCTAACTTATGGTTTGCTCAAATTTTTTTTAAAAGAAATAATCAACAGTGCTGTCCAGGATAAATTACTATGTTCATATCACAGCAAGACATCTCTTTTCTGGGTAATTCAACAAAATACAATACCTAACTGGTGTCCACAAAATCTTCTGGGGGGTTTCTGGGTCTGCTTTAAACTTCTCCTTAAGTGGGTGTACGAGGGAGTTTGTCCTAATTATTTTATTCCAGAAAACAATATGTTTCTGAGTAGCATATATGGTGATGCAAAACAGATTTTATTCTGCAGACTGTATGAATTGTATGAGAAGGGAATAGCTTGTTTGCTTCACAGTCCCTAATTATTTTATTCCAGAAAACAATATGTTTCTGAGTAGCATATATGGTGATGCAAAACAGATTTTATTCTGCAGACTGTATGAATTATATGAGAAGGGAATAGCTTGTTTGCTTCACAGTCCCACCATCAGACCCTATGACAGATGGACTAACAGTGGCGCAAACAAATTGGTGTATAAAATTGACCAAATGTCCTGTCATATGCTGAGACTAGCAGCGAAGTTTGGCCGAATTACTGACACGTTGTACTTAGCCATGTATTATTATCGGACATCTAGATACATAAAAACACTTTCAATTATAGAGAAGACTAAAGCCAAGTTGGTGCAGATGAATGAGATATATTTCAATATGTTTACAGGGAAAATTCGTGATCCTACAGGAGGACAGTATTTTTTGGCAATAGAATCGATGATTATGGGAAACCACATCGACCTTTATTATTCTTTCAATTACATGAATGAATTAATACAAGAAGAACAGGCTGAATATCATCGTAAAACTATTATGCGCATCCCCGTATTGGTTTTGTCATACATGCTAGAAATCTTATGCTCCATCCATACCGACACAATGCGAGCACAAAGAGCTCTCAATAATATACAAACCTTAGTCCATGATGACCAGAATGTGTTTGTTTATCCATTATTCAAAGACATTTCATGGCAGATCCTAGGGATTTGTCAACAGATCATGGGGGACTTTCAGTCTGCTATTTTCTCATACCAACAATCTCTTAGACAAACACCATACCATGGAATACAAACTGCTACACTGATGAGAATACGGGATATTATGGCAATAACCAAACTTGAGTTCTTTTGACAAGTAAACTCAGGCACGTAGCAACAGGTGTGGGGGGGGGGGGAGCAGAGCCTTTTTTCCCAACATTACCTTTACTATTGAAAATGTCTATTGAAAGATTGGTTGCCCCCCCTTCTTACCACAGTCTAATAATATCTAGGAAATGTAGTATTGCATTGCAACAAATTGTAAGTGAAAGGATATTGCCCTAGAAAAAAGTAAGCCACTACCCCCCCCCCCCCCCATCCCCATCCCCACCACCACCCACCACCACCCCTCCCACACACGAAATAGGATTTTCGATTTTGGGCAATTTTTTTTTTGCTTGTTAACTGTTTCAGGTAAGTAAAAAAATTATCTGGTTGCCCCCCCCCCCCACTTTCAAAAACGGTGCTACGTGCTTGCCCCCCCCCCCCTTTCAAAAACGATGCTACGTGCCTGTGAACTGATGTATAGGTGGCAAAGGATAATTTCAGATCAAGTACCAGTCAAATATTTTTTTTTCAAAATAAGGAAACCTATGGTTTGAATGGATAGCGAGCTGTTTTAATTGCTTAACTATTACCACTACTACCATTCATAGGATGTTGATTTGATTAAACAAAGAAGTTTTAACTTACTCATTTCGGATTTCCTCAGAAAGGCGGGGTGGGTTCATGGGGATGAATGTTTGATCTTGAACTCAGTGAACGGAAGGTGGCTGATCCTCAATCCTTTTTTGTTCTAAGGTATGACAGACATTGTTCTGCATTTTGTGTACAATTCAAGGCATAAGCATGGCAATGGAAGGATAATTTCATGCTGGCATTGATTGTTGTTAAAATATAGTTTTAGTTTTTAAACTTGACTTGATTCAGAACAGTATAACGTTCCTATAACAAAGTGTTTCCTTATAAGGTTAAATCGTTATATTCGTTCAGTTTACAAGATATTTTTAAGTTATGAGAAATGAAAATCACTTCTCTGTAAGTGTTAATTTGTTATTAGTGTGTTTGCTATATGTATTTTTACCGTACAAAGTTAATCTTGTCTCATCCCGTTTCCATTGGCTGCTCTGCTTATTTAATTATACTCTGACTTGACATTAAAAGCAGATGCCAGATATATAATAGAGCAACGAATCTGAGTAGTAATAATTTCCCCCATTGGTAATCATTTTAAAAATATGCTATATCATGTTTGAAATATGCAAAAGTAACAATTTTATATTGACTGGTACATGTATTTCAACCAATTTGAAGGGTTTTATCAAAGAAATGAACGTAGCTATTCATTAAATGTTTTTTATATGAATCATGATTCTTGAATTTTTTTTTATTTACTTCAACATTTTTTTAACATTTGGTATTGCTGAACTGGCTAAAATGATATTACTAACTAATTTAAAAGAAGTAGAGACATGAAACAAGCTATTTTGAAAATAGCTGAAAGCTGTTTGAGACCTTTATTTTAGCATGTACTTAATTATTATTTCAATGTACACTTTTAGTTTTTGTTGCTAGTTCATTGAAAGACTAATTTTCACAAAGTTTCCAAGCATTTTAACACCTTTTCCACAACAAATGATGTAAAGTCAATGTGACATTTTATTTAAAACCAATTATATACTGTAGTGCATTATGAAATAATGTTTTTTTTTAAATTAAAAATTAATAATGAGAAAAAAAATGTTTTCAGTAAAAATATGTTTTTCTTTAGTACGCAACATCTTAGAATGAAAGAGAAACTTCACTCAAATTTGAAAATCTTGTGAAAACCGAGCTCCTTAAGACTCTATCAAAGATAACAAAGCTAATCTCTATAATTTTACCTTAATTAAAGCAAATCTCACACCAGCTTTCTTTTTAGTTGATTTGCATCAATGCAAGTCTCTTTTGAACTTTATAGAACTTATAATTACTTGAGAAAGGACCAGCTCTTACAAAGAAATCTGTAAACTCATCCAGACAATGTAGGTAAGATCTTGCATCTGAAGCAAGCATAGCAGTGTCCATCCCTAGATGCAGCATTATGCAAGTATGGTCAAGGTAGAGTTAACAGCAACAGGGAAATGAACCTACCCCCAAAAACCGGTCACTCATCTGGAAATGTACGTCCGATCCATCATCCGAATAAAGTCTGGTAGTATCCATACCTAGAGAAAAGTAAAACTTATTGCTACTTGGAAATGAAGTTGCTTTGAAGAGGACAGAAGTCAACGAACTTTTCGAACAACCCTCGTATACGCGTACAATGTATGTTATTTCCATCCGCTATTACTATTATGTATGAATTGTAACATTTAAATTGTATGAATCATGAAAAAAAAATGGAACTAAAGGTATATTAATATTTCCAGATACTTTAACATAAAAATACTTAAGGTACTGTAAACCAACTTTTATTCGCGACGACATTATTTCGCGATTTACTTGGAAAAAACTAGTTTGCGACGATTTATTTTCGCAATCAAGCCTTTTTGGATCTGTTGTTAATAGACACATACACTTTAAGGACGGGTTCGCGGCGAGAAATGTTCGCGATGTAGAGGTTCTCGCGAACTTTGAAAAAATTTCTCGCACGCGAATAAAAATTGGTTTTACAGAATTTCACTCGTGAAATTTGTTAAATCAAGGATTTTTTAGAAGTATATTTTGGATAGGTACTCATATAGTGTGACACTAAATCGAAAAAAGGGGCCAGTGTGCATCTTGCTTATCTACGGTACAATTAAGTTGACCTTTTTGCACTTACATTTCAATGCTTTGGTTAATAACTTTAACCTTTATTTTATTTTAATCAGATGTAACTATGACAATAGATATAAAAATTTTAACGTAAAATAGTTTGAAGAATATTTATCATTGAAAAAATCTTGGAAATTAAAACGCGTAGATTTTTGTGTGACCTTTTTGCACTAAAAATAACATTTGGGGCATTAAAAACTAAGCAGACAATACAAAAATATCTTTTATCAAACCACTTAAGCGCTTTTCAGTCACAAGTATCGAGTAGTTAAAAATAAGAAAAGATAAATTCAGTGACGTTCATATTGGTCAAAATATGTCATTTTTGGGCAATAAATGGTGTAAATTTTATCTTGGCTTCTTTAACACATCAATTTTTCGGCAAAGTTTGTTGAGGTAAGGTAAAAAAACTTGCTTTAAAAGTATCAATTGAGACGTATTTTAAATCTTCTTAGCAAAATCATAACGGAAAATGGTCTCCGAGTAAAAGTATGTGAGCCTCAAGTTTCAAAATTTATAAATCTGCAAATTTGCAGAAGTTTCTGCTAAATATCCTTCCATCACAACCTTTCTGTGTCAGTAAATTTGTCATAATATCTTCTCCATCTCGTCTAGTACCAAATATACTAAGCAGTAGCCATTTTCATCTTTAATATAATGTTGACGGTGTCCTTTAAGGTATGTGAAAAGAATTGAGATGGATGTACAGTATCGATTTAGATTTTATTGACCTATAAGGATGGTCTTTATTTCCTGCAAACCCATGTTCAAAGAGCTGCTTTTACATTTTTACTTCGGAGGCAAATCATATTTGAAGCGTTATTGGGGATGTTTTTTTTTTTATACCAGTAAGCAATAAGGCTTTGTTATTTTTTGCATTCATTCAGCCATTCGACCATGTCAGTGCTATACAATATAACTTGTGCAGTGGTGTATTGTATTATATTTTATTATTAGAACAGTTTATTTTTGATAACAAAGAAAATATAAAAATAGAAAAATGCAAAGATATTAAATGTAGACTTGAGAATTTAACACTATCAAAGCATTAAATGATAACGAAAAGTATATTTCTCCTTTCAATTTCTATGGTTCTTTGAAGGTCAATCATCTCCTAGTGTCGCTGCTTCAGTTGGAGGAACAGTCAGTGGATAATCATCCCAAAATGTCGAAGACAACAAAATTCAGGTGCAGCTTAATTTACAGCACTATAAAACATTGAAGTTTTTGTTACATTGGTGTAACTTTTTTCAATATTAAGACATATCTTTATTTCCAGAAAATGAAAATCTGAAAACATCAAGCTTAGTTAACATTTTCTATAGTCAAATGTAACGTTATCTTTTCTAGTGCAATGATCATGTCATGGAGTATATACAATAAAAGTATAGCAGATTCTCCTTGTAATATTTCAGTGAACAGACAAAGTATGAAACCCAAACTGATGATGGTTTGGAAGCCCACCAGTACCATGTAATATCAAAAGGTACATTTTATACTATCATAAATCAATGTTATATCAAAAGTACAAAAGTACATCTTATTTGAATTATTGAATTAGGACAAAAAATGTTACTACTGAACATTTTCATCACGTATTGCTTTTCTTAATTTCTTCTTCTTTTGCAGATGTGACTGCCAATTTGGAACCGCACGTATTTAACTTTATAAAACAGCAATTATTGTATTTCACCTTCAATGACAAAACATTTTTATGAATTATTTTCAATTTTAGAAGTAATGAGTATGAAGAAATCAAGAGTAAGGGTATCAAAACATACATTGAACTGGAGGAAACAAACCCAAGGAGAGAAGAAAAAGGGTCTGATGGTATGTAGTCAGTAGATAAATATAGTACCCAACAATATTACTCCTTTACCAATGTAATAACATCGATTAAATGAATACTTTACCTAATATTTTAAAGTAGGAAAACAATCTCAGTATATCATTGTCTTCTTTTTTTTCACAAAGTAAAAAAAAATGATTCTCAGCGGCACTGAGCAGAAATCTTACTCCTTTTTATTATTTTTCCAGATTTAAACGCCTATTATTCTACATGTTCTAATGCATCTTGACACAAGAAAGACGAGAGAAACCAATGTTCTGACAATTACAAATTATGTGCACCAAAACGACAATTTTATCATGATGACTCATTATCTATTATGTCTTTTAATGCATTTCATTAAAACGCCGATTTTTAATGTCAGATTCAATTAATACTCAACAGATTTTAAGGTGAAAATAACAAATATTGACCAATCTCGTATATAAAATAAATTAAAAGAAGATCTAATCAAGAAAAAGCAAACTCCTGGACACATTAAGAGGTAGGAAAGGTCAAGAGGTCAAATTTGGTGGTACCAGAAGAAAGGTCTTGTCACAAGGAATATTCCTGTGAAATACTTAAGCCATAGCCCCACCCACTCAAAAGTTATGTGCACCGTTAAAGTGTTTGCAGACAAACAAACAGAAAGATAGACAGATGAACGGAGAGGACAAAAGCCATATAACCCCCGAATCTTCGATTGCGGGGACATAAAATAGGCTTTGCCTGCTGCCCATTCCCATTCACTTTGTGAATAAGATTTTGTATAAGTAAACAAAGTAAGTATCTATTTTTAATTTTTTGCATAATGTATACACAGTATAAAAACATATAGAAACATGATAAGAATGCAAGAATATTCCGACATGATTAAAGTAGTTTGATATTTTTTTCCGATAATTTCTGTATTTAATTGACATTTGCTATACTTTCTAACTCTAAAACAAAACAGACAGAACATTGTTTTATATGCTCACATATCCTACTTTCAGTTTAAAATTTTAAATAAATTTTAAAATATTCAAAACAGATTAATTACTGTTCATTTCATCCATAATTCCTTTAACCTTGTTTAGTATATTTTGTGTAATATCAATTTTTTACTTTTCCAGAAACCTTGTTATAATTCATAGTAAGAACCATTCAATTTGACCTTTAAACCTTGACCTTGGATTTTGACCTACATTTGAAAATTTATAACCTTGACCATAATTTTTGAACAGTTTCTTTAAGATCTTTCATATCTCAGAGTTGTATTCTTTACCATAAATTCTTTCTTTTGATAACAACATTTTTTCCCTCTAGACCTTGATGTTTGACTTGCATTTGGTAACTTTAATCTTCGCCATGAGCCTCCATACGTAACATAAGTGACATAAGTGTTTTATAAGTGTTTTATAAAATTAAAATTTTATTGTCTTTATTCAAGCATGCGTTTTAAAGATATCGTAATGTACAATACCACCTATTTTTAAACAAAAAAATTCAACGGCGATAAATGTAACTTGTAACATGGTCGAAGATTAGGGTATATAAACACGGAAGTTTTTATCAATAAAAAAGCAAATAATAATAGTGTATCCCGAGTAACTCCTTTATCAATCTTTATAAATGGCTCTTCTAACGACATTATTGCTTTTATCTGGATTCCTCTATACAGCACTGGGTATGTACTTTGAAAGACAATTTGATTTGTCTAACCTAATTTTGGCTTTCATTTTGAAATTCTTTATAGATATATTTCTCTTACTTAGATGTTCAAAATATTCCAAAATTTTATGAATGAACTTAGATGTTCAAAATATTCCAAAATTTTATGAATGAATAGTAGTATCTACTACAAAACATGATGGATTTAAGATGTGTTAACACGACATTAAAATAAATGGTACTGTGTGGAATAAACACGTAGATTTCGAATGAAAAACATGGAGTAATTAGAACGAATCAGTTATATACAACATGTTATATGGAAGTTTAATTACTGGCACGAGCAATAAAAGTAATCTAAAGTGTTGTAAAATTACCTTCCTGACGACATGGATAAGTAGGGAACAGTTAAAACTTCCTCTGACTTCGTTAATTTGTACACACTAACTAGCTGCAAAGATGACGTTTTTTATTGTATGAAGAAAAAGCTCCATAATATGTTTTTACACCAACCGTGTGCTGTTTGCCATAATTGGATAATTGAGAAATACGTAATCTATTCAATAAAAATAATAACCCAAAATTTGTATGAAATGTGTTGCTCAATATTCAACCTATTACGGTAGTTTGCACTGTAAACAAGGCCATTGTATTGTTTGTAAAATTTGCAAAACTTGACTTCCAACTATATTGTATGTACCAATGTATCATCAACTTGTTTTCATTAACCTGCCCCGCACTACTCGCACAGTGATTATATACTAAGGCATAACTAACAGGTTTATTAACATTTCACCTTTTTGAAGGGAGAAGAAATCACATCAAAACCACCTGGTCAATGCGTTACGTCGAAGGAATATTGAGTATCTGAGGAAAATTTGAGAGCTTAATTTGAATGAATAAAATCAAAAATTAAAAACAAAAAAAAAACCTGGTATACTTAAATTGATATTAATTTGATGAAATAAGAAGACAAGTGCCCGAGATAATTTAGGTTCGCATGGTGTGGTTTTTGGAGACCAGGTATTCCAACAATCTATTGGAATTCCCATGGGTACAAATTGCGCTCCGTTATTAGCAGACTTATTTTTATATTCATATGAAGCAGAATTTATTCAAAATCTTTTGCGTGAAAAGAAAAAAACACTTGCTGTGGCCTTCAACTCGACATTTAGATATATCGACGACGTATTGTCAATTAATAATGATAATTTCCATTCCTACGTCGACACGATATATCCTGGTGAGCTTGAGATAAAAGATACCACAGAGTCCAACACTTCTGCTTCATACTTGGATATTTTACTTGAAAAAGACACAAATGGTAATCTAACAACCAAGCTATATGATAAACGTGATGACTTTAACTTTTCTATCGTCAACTTCCCTTACTTATGCAGCAATATACCTTCATCACCTGCATACGGAGTATTTATATCTCAGTTGATTCGATACGCAAGAGCATGCTCTACGTATGAACAATTTCTTAAACGAGGTAAATTATTGACAAGCAAGTTGATGAAACAAGAATATCAACAGTCTCGTTTAAAGTCATCATTTCGTAAATTCTATGGTCGATACAATGACCTTGTCAGCAAATACAATTTATCATTGAATGAAATGCTGACTGACGTTTTTCATACCAATTGTTAGTCCATTATTTATACACTGAATTGACTACGGATTTTTTTCCCGTTATTTCCTGATTATGACAATGAGCACACGGCGGGTGTGACCGGTCAGCAGGGGATGCTCACTCCTCCATGGCACCTGATCCCACATCTGATGTTTCGGAGGTCCGTGTTTGCTCTGCTCTTATTTTGTATATTTGTTTAATGGACGTTGAGATTGAATACTGTTCGTTATTTCCATATCCTTATTTTAACCACCGAACATGTATCTCTGCTGGTGGACAATTTGTCCCCGAGGATACTTGTCGTTCGGTACTTATTCATACATGAAAACAGATAAAAACGAAATGATACTGGCAGGCGCGTCGCCCAGTATAAAAAGGCGTCACTCCTTTGAGTCTATAAGGGACACAGATTCAAGGAGTTCATTTGGTGTCCCTCGGATTATCCTCAGGGATATTAAACATATGTCATATGTGCAGTCTTCAGATTCCCAGTTTTGGTATAAAACCAATACATCATATACCAAATTGAAAGAGTGTAAAGTTTCTATTACAAATATATTGGATGATTCCTTTTGCGATCCAATGTCTTCGGTTTCAAAATGTTCTGTACGAAACTGTAAAACCTGTGACATTTTGATAACTGACACTTCTTTCACCAGTAATCTTACTGGACTGAGCTTCTATACCAAAACTTGGGAAAATCTGAACTGCAAATCTTCTAATGTTGTCTATGGAATAGAATGTAATCTGTGTGGACTTATTTATGTCGGTGAAACCAAGGGATCGCTTAACAAAAGAATATCAGGTCATCGATTTCAAATAAATCATGGTGGTCAGCAGCTTTTATATAAACATTTTAATTCACCTGATCATTCTATTTTATCAATGAAAGTTAGAATTCTGGAAAAGATTTATCACCACACAAATAGTCCATCTTTGAGTACACCTTTCCGTAGACAACGTGAAGAAGTTTGGATTAGGAAACTAGGGACAGCCTTTCCCTATGGATGTAATGACAATGTCGATAGTGTAGGGAATCTAACAAGCCCGCAGTGTAATAATGTAAATGTGATGGGACTTTTTAACAATACTCAGAGACGTAAGCGTAGTCATGGACATCGTTCGTACAATAAACCTGCAATACACGACGTCTCTTTTGATTCATTACTACCTTATGTAAATAAACAGTTAGGTCTACATCATATTCGAACCAAACTTTACTCTGTCTCTTTGAAACTTTTAAATAGTCTTCTTGAAAAGACCAAGGAACATCCAAATTTAGATTCCTCGACACCTGAATATAGGCTCGGTTCTGTGATTATGGATATTGCACATCATAGGCTTTTTAAACCCGCACGTTTCAGGGAAGAAAATGCAGCTAAAACAATCCGTCTTTTCCTTAAACTTCAATATGCCAATAAAGGAATTGACGCGGTAAATATTAGTAATATTCTTAATCACAAAAGGGTCCAGTCTTATATTCCACCATATTTCAAGTTAAAGACTACGCCTTGTATTTCCTACAAATATACTTCGACCATTGCTTCCAAACTTTTCAATTACAAAAATACTTTACATGGCCTGAATATCGACTATCTGAAAAATAATCCCCTTTCGTGTTCATGTTCTTCTTCGCCCTATAACTATAGTCCTGCTGGACACGTTATTACAGGTGACGTAAATATAGTTCGTAATGAGGACCTTAGATCACTTATTTTAAAAGGTCCTAAATATAGGGAACCCCGATCCTTCAACTGGCGTCAGAATTTCATAAATATTATGGATTCTGTTGAAAATTACGCCAGACGATGGGCTAGATATGAAAAAGAAGACATTGACACCTTGTCAGAATGGATTAAATGTATCAGATCCATGTTAAAGTCACGTATTAAAAGATTGAGGGGCAAAATGAAAACCATCTATCCTTCTGTGTTCAATAAACCAGAAGTGAAAAAAGAATTAGATAGATTACACGATCAGTACGTACTGGTTCCTGCCGACAAAGCAGGTAACAACATTGTCTTCGTTTGTAAGGCTCATTATATAAATTGCATTTTAGAAGAACTTGGATTTAATTCCACGAGTGGTAATCCTACTTATACATATACTACTCTTTCTAAGGAAGAAA